AACAAAACGTGATGATGGATCGCATTTTAAACATAACAATAAAAAAAACAAGCATTTGGATGAGCAGAAAATCGGGACTTTGAAAACTGGCCGCTTAGATAGGGGTTGTCCGCTTAATACATATACAGGGCCGTTATATACAAGTTCGACTGGTATTTCAAACCTGGGATCAGCAGATAATGATCTAATCAAGAATGTTACAAGCCGGTTATTACCCGCTCAAGCTTATTGAAAGTAATGTAATTTCCTGCATACGATGCACTTTGTTGACCGCCTCTAATTGACCTTTAAAGCTTTTTTCAACTTATATTTCAGCCAGGTTTAATTACATAAAACTCAGTACAAAATATGGTAAACGCTCACTCAGATGTTTGCTTCTAGATGTAATTGGAAAACTTGAACTATTCCTACGAAACTTTCACATCCGAAAGATTTTCGTCTAGTTCTTCAGGCAATCTTCGATCCTTCCCACGAAGATTGCGTGACGAGCGCAAAGAGCATCTGCATGTAAGCCTCCGTGCTTAGTTATTGGACAATTTTTCTACTTGACATTGACTTTATTTTTATGCAATTAAAATGGCAGTTAACAAAGCATTTCTTTTGCTGATTCTGTGCTGAAGCGACAAGGGCCTTGTTTGTGGTTAGATTTCATGCGGAAATGAACAGATAAATTGCAATTCTACTCTATTTTTTAGCTACTAAGAACAACAATTAACAAAATATGCTCTTACGTTGATTCTGTGCTAAAACGACAAGGGCGCTCTAGTTGTGTTTAGATTTTGGGAATGAATGCAATTTTATGTTTGCACAAACTCAAGGATATTATCATGGTTTCGTTGACCGACAAAACTTACTTTTTACTACTTTTTTCATCTGAAAGCCCGATACTTGATTAGATTTGAAGGGAGCTGAGGCCGAGCGTAAATGTTTGGATAGGGAATATATTGGTGATGATGATTTTGGGTTCCCACCCAATCGTGTTCGTCTCCACTGCCTGTACTTTCATCGGATCGTTTTGAACTAATTGATTCAAATTACTGATACAGTGAATTTTGTCACTTCACATTTTTAGCCAGTATTGTAGTTGACCGCTCACTTTCGCTAACCTCGTACCCAGGTCTGTTTTCACCGAAGGGTCAGAGGTCCTGAGTACGAGATTATATTACACTTTCATAGTGATTTGGGTGTGGCTCAAAACAGTAATATTTCCGTGATACGCCTGAGCTCTAACGCGCACTTCAGCGCGAGGCATCACGCGATCAACCGAGGGGCCGCGAGATAGCGCGCGAGATTTAAAGTTTCCAAAACTCAAAACAAACATGGCGGCGCGAGGCCGACTACTTTGTAAAACTTTGTTTCCGCCAACTTTAGTAAGCTGTTTGCGTTATCAGTTGTTTTTACCTTTGATAATAATATGCATGAAAAAATTACTCGATTCTGATTGGCTGAGAGCAGTGCTGTTGAAGTGTAACACCAGTGCAAAAAGTGTAACATCAGTGCAAAAAGTGCAACACCAGTGCAAATTACACATTGTAATTCTAGATTATGATTGGCTGAAAGAAAATAGGAAATTTTCTAAGCCACATAAAATGGCAATGCTTTTTCTACAGATGTCACAATCTATTGGGAATATTACACCACTGGTGTCTGGGAATAACATTTAATTCTTGCATCAATCGCAACAATCCTTTTGATTAAAGCAACAGGTTTGCTTGTAGGGTCATGTATCTAGCTAAAAATTAACAAAAACACATTAGCATGTAAAGTAATGATAGTAATAAATACGTGTATATGAATAAATAGGTATATAATAATTATATACGTATTTATTCATGTTGACAAAAGTTACTTTCTCGCTTTGCATTTGCATCAAGGTCGCATTGACTCCCGAAGAGTGCCAATTGGCACACAACGTCATAACTTTGTGAATATATATATTATTTTAATGATTTCTATGAATTTTTGCCACAAAAATTGTCTTGTGAAGATCTGCTCATTGAAGTCATAAAATTGTGACCCCCTCCTATCTAAGACATGGTTGACCAACCCCACAAGTTTTTAGTTCTTTTTTTGGAATGCAAATAGAATGCAAGACTTGTTTCACATTATGCACTAAGACCTCAGTGCTAAATATGCTATAGTTCAGGGGTATACCTAATATAGTAGAAAGTTGATACATTTTTGAAGAGATTCGTTTTTGCATTTTAAACCAATTTCTCTTAAAATGTCTACCTCCTTCATAGCTGCTGATGTCAATTCTTAAATAAGCTGATCAGTGGCTTTCAAATGGCATATTGTACACAGGCAGAGTGTCTTTATTTGCCAATTTGGGAAAAAGTGCCATTCGCTTTGGAGGGGCAGGGGGAAGGGGAAAGGGTTAATAAAAATGTCTTTTCTAACTTTGGCATAGAATTGCTTGAAATTATTACAATAGTACCTCGATACAGTGTTCCAAAGTACAGCACCCCAGTAGATGATCGAGTTTCTCATAAACTTTGAACAAAATTACAGAGTTTCGATCTTGCTACCTCTAAGGTGTTATACTTTGTGCTTTTGCATCCTGTCTGAATCCATAGCCATCACCTCAAATTTAGACCTAATTGAGTTAGACAGTTCATGAGTGGAGGGACCTTTCAATCAAGCCTATTTGTATGCTTAATTTATTTCTCTCTGCATCTGTATAGTCAGTCATGATGTTTGTAAAGTTTTTCTTAGTTTATCCATTCTGAATCCACAGTCATCACCACAGAGTTAAACTTAATTGAGTTAGACAGTTCATGGGTGGAGAGAGCTTTCAATCTAGCCAATTTTAAGCTTAATTTATTTCTCTCTGTATCTGAATGCTCAGTCATGTCATTTGTAACGTTACTTTTAGTTTATCCACGCGTATGAGAAGAATCCATTATCAAGCCAGAAATCACACTCCTGTTTGTGGTATCCGTCCTTGTTGAGAACCTTCACGCCACTGTTTGTAAAAAGAGCTGTGTGTTCAGGGTATTGTTTCCAATAAGAATCTTTTAAGTCGTCATGAATAAATTTACCAAATTCTCTTCTGAGGTTTCTCATGAATCTCAGGTCTTTAGGTGAGGGGTTATAATGGAATGCAGGTGGGAAACCAAACAGTGCAACAAGGTCCCACATGTGGATGGCAAATGTGGCTGAAAATCCAATTAAATTTATTGGCGATGAAGGAGCATTGGTCACAATATATCTGTAGACAGAACTATTGAAGGCTCTAGATGCATTTAGAGCCAAAACATTATTAGGACAAGTAAGTCGTATGTCAGAAGCCATTGATGTGTATGCAAACTGAAGCGATGCCGAGGATCCATCAGGAAGAGTTTTGTTGTACATGCTTAATACTTGACTGACATTTCCACCAACAAAGGGTAACAGCTTTGCCTTGACATATGAGCTATAGTCTTCCCATGTAGAGTTAGCAAAGTTCTTTACGGGCTGAATATTGATCTCATGTGCTGTGGTTCCAATAATCAGTGGTACATCGTTTGCTTCACCTGCCATCATAGCAAGGAGAGGAGGCTTCGGCACAATGAGTTTGTCAACTACAGCAACTGCTCCATCAAACAAGTTTTGGGTTGGTAGATCCATTTGATCTGCCATGGCCCAGTAAGGATATACATCCCATGGAATGGCAGTCTCTATTTGTTTCATGCTTAAATTGTATAAGCATTGTTCCTCTGCCACTGAAGTGTTTCGGACACATCTAGAGTTCTTGACAAAAACTTCATTGTCACAAGCAGCATCTTCAGATGACTTGTTAAAAATCACAGAACCACTCATCAGAATTGCACGATGGAAAAGTTCTGATGCACGTGGAGAGGCAAGCAGTGCCAATTCAGATGTACCACCAGAACTTTGTCCAATCAGAGTCACAGATTTTGGGTCACCTCCAAATTTCCTAATGTTTGCTTGCACCCATTTTAATGCTAATATCTGATCCATGAATCCATAGTTTCCTGAGGTCTTGGAAGGTGAGACATCTGCTAATGACTTCAGAGCCAGAAAACCAAATGCATTTAGTCTGTAATTGAATGAAACACCGACTATCTTCATTTCAGAAACCAATTCCGGAGACGGATGAAGTCCATTCCAATTCCCTGAGGAAAACATTAAGAACCCACCATGAATATAAACTAAAACAGGCAGCAGTTTTTCACTGGGTCTTTTTTTTGGAGTCCACACATTAATAAACAAGCAATCTTCACTGCCAATAACTTTGCTTGGGTCTTTGGTATGCAGCACATCTGGCTGACAACACATGTGTCCAAATGAACTTGCATTAAAAGTTCCATTCCAGCATTTTTTTGATACATGCTCACCACAAGCAACTGGAACCTTCCAACGCTGATTTTTAACTGGAGGTTTTGCATAAGGAATACCTTTAAACACAACAGCGTCCCCTTCAAGTCTTCCTCGCACCACGCCAGCGTTAATTTTCACCTGAATGTGCTCCGACTCGTCGGACATGATTTCTTCATATTCCTTCACTTTTCGGGAGAAATAATAATAAAGAAGGCCAACTAGGATAGTAAGAAACACAACAGCCACAAAAGCGAGTGTAATCTTCCTCCTCTTTCGTTGTTTGGATAAGTGCGTGCTTGAGTAATTGAGGAGAATACCATCTCGTTCTTCCATTCCGGACTCAGTGTCTTCAAGCAATGGAATGAATGTTCTTCTATCTTGCGATTTCTGCATGTTCAAACCAAACAGCTCGTTCGATAGCACGTGCAAGTTTTTGGATCACATCTGGTTTGTAACTTCAACAAAATACCATTCAAGAAGACTGTGGAAATACTAAATGGAGGTACTATACATGTATGCCAATTTAGTCGTCGAAGATGTCTTCATCGAAACAGTAAAAAAATTCAAAACAAACCTCCCCTTCAGTTGATCACATAGCCAGCTTCTAGTAGTTAGGACATTTTAAAACGAGTAGCCCTGGGGACGATTTTTTTTGCATTGGACTTTGCATTTTTTATGCAAGAATTTTTTTATGCAAGAATAAATTCTGAGCAAACAATTTTGTATGACTGATAAAACTTTGGAGTCTGTTACCCTTTCAGGAGAAACCAAACACTCGCAGGATAGGGTGTCTGTTAGCACAATCACGAAAATCCGGCAAGAATTTCTAGCTATTTCTTGTACAAGTCCACTTGTGGACTCTCAGGCTTCAGTGGACATTAATTAAGGTCATTAAGACTACGTACAATCCACTAAACATCGAGGCAATCGTTTTATTATTTCCTTCGGATACGCGAACAAAAAAAGATTATTCAGAATTTTTTTTGGCGTTCTCTGCGGTGTTTGTCACTCACTTCTTGTTGTAGCTTCCTTGGGCTTTTTATGCGTTAAAAATGCTTCCGCCCAAGAGTAGAGAACATTTAACATCTGCGTAATCGAAAAATATGTTATGTGACACCCTCTTAAAATTATTATTACACTGTATCAGAAAACATTCTGTTGTATTGTTGTTGTTGAATATTTATGGAGATCGCTGCGCTTAGCTACAACTAGCTACAGGCATGCCACTCAAACTGAAAGAAATAACTGATTTCAAATTAACATAATAGGCTTAATTAAAAATCCCAACTGGCGGGAGGCAGACCGGTTGGCTATTTACAAGCATGACCGAGGAGTTGAATTAGTCAGAGCGAGACTTGATCCCGCAAACTCCGGATTTCAAGTTCCGCACCCTAACAAATTGGCTCTACCTGTCGTCCTGAGTGGTTACAAACTGAAGACTCCTGTTCGAAAAACTTATTGAATTAATTTAACTATTCAAGAGGGAGGAAATCTTTCACGATTTTCGAACTTTGTTTGGAGTACTTGTCTTGCGTGTTCAATGGCGCGCTCTTTTCACAAAGAACTCAAAAAAATACTCATAAATTTAAATCTTAATCGATCCGCTTGAGTGCACTTTAAGACCCTCTAGGGTAAGAATGAATACAATTATGCATGAGGCGATAAAATTGCATCGCAATCTCAGCCGATTAGTCCCGCTACAAAGTGAAAATGGCAGCGAGTGCTAATCGAGGAAACACGAATTTAACAAATCCACTCTTAATGACTAGCGAAGATGAATCCGATGTGGAAGAATATTTTTCATCGAGACCACCTAAAGTCAGGAGGAAGACGAAAATCATTGCCATAACGATTATTTCGCTTCTGGTTCTTGCCATTGTTGCAGGCGTTATCGTTTACTTCTTGAAGAGAAAAGCTGGGAAGCAGCCTCAGGAAATCCAACTGGAAATACGAGGCGGTGTGGTACGTGGGCAATACGAAGGAGACGCCGTGGTGTTCAAGGGCATTCCCTACGCAGAGCCACCAGTCGGTAGTCGGCGGTGGCAGGCTTCGGTCCCTTGTGATGTAAACAAATGTTGGAATGGAACTCTAGATGCAACGACATTTGGAAGCGTCTGTGTTCAACAAGATGTGGCGAGCCCGAACGACCCAAGCAAAGTCATTGGAAGTGAAGACTGTTTGTTTGTGAATGTGTGGACACCAAAAGAAAGGTCGCCAGAACAACTACTGCCTGTTCTAGTTTACATTCACGGCGGTTACCTGTTGTATCTCTCGGGGAATTGGAAAGGATTACATCCTTCTCCAGAAATGGTTTCTAATATGGAGATAGTCGGTGTTTCATTCAATTACAGACTAAATGCATTTGGTTTTTTGGCCTTGAAGTCGTTAGCAGATGTCTCACCCTCCAAGACCTCAGGAAACTATGGATTCATGGATCAGATATTGGCATTAAAATGGGTGCGAGCAAACATTAGGAAATTTGGAGGTGACCCAGAATCTGTGACTCTGATCGGTCAGAGTTCTGGAGGTACGTCCGAGGTGGCACTGCTTGCCTCACCAGGTGCATCTGGACTTTTCCATCGTGCAATTCTAATGAGTGCCTCGGCTGTTTTCAACAAGTCTTGGGAAGATGCAGCCATTGACAATGAGATCTTCGTGAACCACTCCAAGTGCGACAGAAGCAGCTCCACAGCTGAGAGAAAATGCTTGTATAAATTAAGTCCCACTCAAATACAGAATGCTATCCCGTGGGACGTGTACCCATTCTGGCGTATGGGTGATCTGATGGGTCTTCCAACAAAAAACCGGTTTGACGGGGCTGTTGCAGTGGTTGACAGAACTGTCGTGTCAGAACCTCCCCTTGTCGCCATGGCAACTGGGAAAGCGAATGATGTCCCCCTTATTATTGGAACAACAGCACAAGAGATCGATATTCAGCCGATGGTTTCCTTTACCAACTCGAGCTATGGAAAATACAGAAAACATGTTGAAGAAAAACTGCGACCTTTTCTAGGAAACGAAGTAAGCAAGGTCCTAGACATGTATAACGATAGCTTGGCCATGGGTGAGTCTTTTCAATTTGCCTTCTCGTCCATGACTTCCGATCTAAGAGAAACTTGTCCCAATAACGTTCTGGCACTGAATGCATCGAAGGGTTTCCATAGTCCCGTTTACAGATATGTGGTAACAAACAGGCCCTCGGCGCCTATAAATCTATTCGGCTTTCCTGCCTCGTTTGCGTTTCACATGTGGGACGAGGTAGCGTTTTTCGGTTTCCCGGTTGAGCTTAGTTACAAGCCTTCTAAAAAGGATAAGGAGTTTATGATGGATCTGAGAAGAGAACTCGGTGAATTCATCCACAAAGGAACTGTTAAAGAAGAATCGTGGAGAGAATATCCAGAAAGTACTGCTCTTTTTACTGATAATGGCGTCAGTGTTCCCAAAGAGGAATATCACAAAAAACAATGCGACTTCTGGCTGGGACAAGGGTTTTTCTCTTATGGATGGATCAATTAACAAATTAATGAATCAAATATTTAATTAATAGGCCATATTCTTATTCTCGTTATTGAACTGGAACTATAGCTTGTAGTGGAGGCTCATGCGGATTAATATCATTGAAAAGAGATTCGTGTCATTTACACTTGAAAGACTCCCCGCATCAGCCTCAATCTGCAAGGTAGTTCCTGTCCAATAACGAGAACATCAATAAAGTCTATGGATCGGTTGACTAATAATTGACGACTAGCTAATGTCCGTGGTTTTTTTTGCTCGTGATTGTTCCCGCTGGTTATTTTCTTAACCTGCTATTCAGTCATTTAGCTTCATTTAGTCTCTCTAATGATAGTTCACCAACTGTACGACTCGTTAACCATTGTTTCGCGACCCGTACGAGTCGTACGGGTCGTGGACTTGTCTATACACGCTAAGTCTCTCTAATATATATACAATTCACCAAATGTACGACTTGTAAACCATTGTTTCACGACCTGTACGGGTCGTGTTCAGCCATTCACGGGCCGTATCTGTTCGACAGTATTAGACAAGGATGCTGTTCCAGCGTGGAACCTGAGCAAAAACAGTTGCAATATAAATTTTGGGCTCGATAACAGAACGTTTTATTGATCAGACAAAGTTTGAAACGAAAGTTAACAATATAGAGACACAAGCGATTACAATATATCATTAGTCAGTTAGCAAGTACAATATGAATAATGTAATTTTTGATATCTTTTGCTGGAAGAGGAAATCGACCTGAAACTGAAATTGTCTTGCCGCACGGGCATATCATTTTGACAAAGGGGGAGCTAGATACGGGGAGGGTTGGGTTACCCCTGGATTATTATGACGGCTGAGGGTTATAATGGGGGAAGGGGACTAAAAAAGAGATATTACACTAAGTCACTCTTGTTCTTAAGCTTAAAATTGCAGTTGCTTCAGTTACTTCTCGGAACTGTTCCTTTTTGATAATTATCAGCCACTAGATTGTCATTCAACATCGAAAAGTAGCACGTAAAATCCGCTCCGAGTTTTCCCTAAAATCTTTGCTACTAAAGAAATATATGACAGGATTAACTGCGGAGTTTGTCAGTCCAATCGCTACTGCCCATATGTAGAATGAATTGACGTGCTGTTCCGGGTCACTAACAAGAACATACCCGTATGGAACCCAACTGAGTGTAAATACCGTAATTACGACAGCAATTGTCTTCGCCGTACGCTTCTCAGATTCCCGCCTTTTCTTGGTAATGGCCTGTGCAGTCCTCTGTTCAGAGACGCGCTCTACACCGGGTGAATTCGCGCTCTTTTTGTTCTCGATTTCAAATTGCGATACCGTTAACGTCATTACGTTGTTCACTTTGAAATGAGCTCTCGTTCGTAGAAGAAGTATTGCATAACTGGTTAATATAACACCGTAACAACCAGCGAGTCCTGTAAGGATTAATAATGACGATAGCCTGGTTCCTTTCCCGGCCATTAGACCGGTGATTCCAAGAATAGATGGCACTCCCCATATTATAGCTAACGTTGTAAGAATTCTTCTTCGTGTTAAAATCTGTCGCTGGCTGAACGGCCAAGCAATTGCTAACAGGCGCTCCACGCTCATAAAAGCGAGATTCATAAGAGAAGCGCCACAAGTAATATACGCAGCTAAGCGGAATGCGTCGCGCAAACTCTGTTTACAGACACCTGCCATGCGCTCCAAAGTCAGAATCGCTTCCATGGGTTGTACACAAAGATTTACCGAGAGGTCAGCTACAGAAAGACTGCAAATAAAGTAGCACCATGCTTTGTGTAGACGAGGACTTGAATACACTGTCACACAGACCAAGATGTTGCCAAAACTGCCGAACAGAGCTGACAGAACATTGACGGAGAAAGCGGCGATCCCTTCTGAATCCGTTATTGCGCAACTCGAGTTCAACATGATTTTAAAGTTATTAAAACGTTCTCAATTGAAATTAGTTTCTTGGGTAGCAAACGCCAATAGTCATAGATTTTACGTTCATTCAGTCAAAACGATCTGATTGCGTCGAGTATGATGAATCATATTGAAGACAACATTCAAAAATGGCTATTCTGGAAAGAAAAGATTTCGCACTGACCTAATCTGAACGTTGTCAAAGAAATTGGCAGAGAATAGCACCATATCACATTAAACGTTTATATTTCTGTCTGACTATTTGTTTATGGAAATCGTTTTGAGATCCTTTCAATTGTCAGTTGAAATTGTTTCTGTTCCTCTATTTGTTCAATTTATTTTTCTAAAAGACTGCGAGCATGGAATACTGGAAAAAAATTTATTATATTAACTCTTGCCTAAGACTTAGCCATTTTTAAACCAGAGTTACAGCTTGATTTTAGTTAGATTAAAAATTCACCCGTCGTAGATTTTGAAAAGAAAAAGAAGAAAAGGGTTTGTGTTTCTTTGTAAACATTAATTACACAGGAGCGTCAACTGTTGGCTCAGGAAACCTATCTATTTGTTTTAGATGATTGTGATGGTGGAGGTTTATTTAGCAGTATTTTGTTTCAGTCTTGTCGGAAGTAGCCTCGTTAAAATTGTTTAGTCGCGTGGATCACGTATTATGAAAATTAGAAGCAATCACGTACCTTTGGTCAGAAAAGCCTTCTGTAAAATAATAGGTAACAGAAACGATACTTTACCGTACCCTCGTGGTTTAACAGATACACCGACGAGAAAATATAAAAACACAAATTCTTGTGTACCTCAACCAGTTTCTCAACAAGGGTTTGTTGCTCCATGAAGGAACAATGAGCTTCAGAGCCACTTAAATGTCTTATACTGTACGGTAAATATTTCGGACGCTTAAAACTTTATATAATTTTATTTTCGGACAGTTTTTTCGTCCGAAATTAAAATCATGCGAATTTTTTTCCAAGTAATTTATTAAACTATTCATATAGGGGTAATGTGTAACAGAAAGTTGTCACTTATGAGTTTGGACGTAGATTAGCTGGGCTTTTCTCTAGCCGTTTCTTTTACACTGTTCCTCACAAGGCAGCGTGGCCGATTGGTAAGGAAGCCGGGGCCCGGGAGCGACTTAAATGAAGTGAAGATACGAAAAAGCGGTAAAATTTGTGGCGCAGCGTTTATTTTTCGTCGGCGTGAGACGTGTGGAAAGCGAGTGAAACAGTTTTTCCGAAGCTTATGCCGAGAATCTGTTTTCACTTAAAAATTCTGGACGAAATTTTGTGAATTTTTGTTTTTGGAAGCTCCAGTAAATTTTTTTGCTGCTTTTCTGCTTTATTCAGTCGCTTACATTCGCAAACATTTTTGATCAAATGTTTCGTATCCAGGGGCGGATCCAGGATTTTTCTTAGGAGGGGGTACACCGATAAGGAATGGCGTAATTGACTGGTGAGGTAAACAAATTTTAAAAGCGAATATGAAGAAGAAAGTTTCAACCAGGGAGGGGTGCGCACCCCCTGCACCCTCCCCCTAGATCCGCCCCTGGTATCAAGTTCTACGTTGCTATAGCTAGTTGAGTTAATTTTGACATTCTGTGGCTTTTTATAGTTCCTGGGATGGCATTACACGAGCGCGCGATGGATATGAGATGGCAGATGGCCAACAAGGCGCGTGTAGTGCCGAGTTGGCTAAAATCATCTCATATCTAACAAGCGTGAGTGGAATAGTTGTCTTACTAGAAAAGGCCCCCAAAATATAGAAACCTGAAATAAAAAAAATAAAATAAGAACGCCCCCAAAACTTCCGCGTGCGCTTACCATAGTTCATAGTTGTAAAGCGTGGTATAATGGCCCATATAACATGATGGCTGATTAAGCCAATGGAAACTTATCTAATGATCCAGTTTTTAATAAAGCTGATAACTGTGAATCAGTGAACCAAAGAGAAGGCTAAAAACAGCGGCATTACCCCAGGTAGAGAATTACAATTCTTGATATCAAACGACCATATGCATCAAATTCAGCGTAATTGTTCTATATTGCTATCTTGCTCAGTTCAGAGTGTAAAAATTCACCAAAGACCGGAGAAAAAGTTCAGTTCAGCAATCGATTTATGTATTTTTGACATTCTGATTCTTCAGTAACAGGCTCAACCTCCGCGGCAGTCAATTTTCCCGCCCTCGCCTTAAATGACGTCAAATCTGCAACATATGGCTACATTCTTACTTCCCAGTTAACGTTACCCAGAGCTCCTGATGTTTATACACAACGCAGAGCGACCTACGTCTATGTGTGTTTTTTTTTCGCCTATCATGATTAAATGTGTATATTATCTATATTTCTTCGCCGTGAACGCTGAGAAATAATTAAAACGAACGCGGAAAAAGGAGTTTATTTCCTCTCGCAAATGTCACAAAAAAGAGTTGACGTACAGTTGAGCAAGAAATAATATCGAACCAAGCTGTCTAACACTGCTTGTATTTTTTAAAACAACACCTCCAAGGTTTTATGAACATACAGCGCTCCACTGTTATAACTGTCGCTTACTATTTTGATTACTTTCTACTTCTCATGAATATTAAAACTGATTGTTAGACAGCCAATAGCTTACTTAAACTACTTGTGGGAACTCTCCATACAAAACAAATTCAAAACATTTCATTGATATGGCTGTGAGACAGCGAGTGATTATGAAAATAGCTCCATAGGAAATTTACGATCAAAGGAAGCGAGTTTTACAGATTCATGGAAATTAAAGGTGCATGTAGTTTGCTCCCACGGTGAGAACGCGAATTCTCGAATTCATGATTTTAAAATAGTTTTCTGTCAGTTGAAAGGCCCTGGTTTGCATTTTCAGTCGTTGAATAAGCTGAACTCAGCTGTAGATTTGAAAACAGTAGAAGGAAAGTGGCCTTTTTTGCCTTTCGTGCTTGCCTCGCTGTCACAGTGGGAGAAGCCAAAGAAACGCGAAAGAACACAGTTTAATTATAACTGTTGGTAACTGAGAGTCTTTTTGTGGCTCAGAGTTAACTGAAACTGCTGACGTCCGTTTGGAGCTCGGCATTCTCACTTCATGACGTTTTGTCAGCGAAAGCCGTTTTACTGCAGGAAACTTTGACAACAACAACAAAACTGGTCTACTTTTTCAGGTTAGTATTCTGCAGTTGAAACACTGAACTAGAGATATGGCGAATTCGGAAAAGGTAAAATTTGGAATAGCTCACAGTAAAAATCAGAAAACTGTGATTTTAATTTTTCTAAAGAACGTAATTAAACGGTTTAAAGTAATTCCCCATAAAAACTCATCGAAAATTACAGTTCCTTTCGTCTGGTTATCGGGCAAGATGGATTGTTTACAACGAAGCTCTGAGTGGAAAAAGGAACTGAGGCATTTAAGACAAATACCATAAACTTATAATGATATCTGATAGTCTTTTGATGTTTGGTATTTTACAATAACACTTCAACCGAAAAGATAAATGACAAAGTAAGTCCAATTTAGTTGAATCAAACATAGTTATCCCTGAGAACCCAGGAATAATCTCTTTTCCAATTTTGGTTCGTGCCATCTTCGCTCGTTTCAATTTTCTCTTCTACACGGCTACGTTTCTACCTCTCACGTTTTGAGGATGCATACAGTTATGATAATAACATTTGTCAAAGCTGTAATATCGATGTCCTACCGCAGATACAACACATGACGTCCTCTTGTTTTTGTTTTATTCTGTTTTTAAAAGTGATGGGGATATTCTTTAACCATGTTTATTTATGTTGAGCTTTTATATATTTTTCTTAAGTTCGATGTAAATTAAAAACTAACATTTAAAGTATATAATGAATAAAATATCAGCAGTGATGAGAAAATATAAACTAAGGCATGATGTGAGAAGCTTTTGTCTTAAAAACGCGACAGGGAAAGCTTCTTTATTCCAAACTGCGTAACAGTGTGGGTCGTAGTGTCGTGCGAAAACGCGACCAGTGTTAATTAAGCGAAAATGCGCTAGGTTTTACAAGGAGCAATAAGTGTTACAAAGTGTCACGTTCGTTTCAAGGTGCGACAGAACACTTGCGCACTGACAGTGCACTCACTTTTTCACCCTTGTCGACATTGACACCTCTACCTCACCGTGAGTCACCATGAAACAGAGTTCGATTCGTTGTGAGTTACATTTTGGTATTAACCTAACGTGAGGTCAAGATCGCCGGATTTTGGCCAAATTCTTTTTTGGCTGTTTATGGATTTAATCGCAGTCGAGGTTCATAATTACACAAGCACTCAGAAACTCATTATCCAGCCATCTTGACCGAATAAGCTTCGTCAAAAAATGATTTATTTTATGGCCAAAAGAACCACATCTTCTTGCAGGACGCAGTGGGAAATCCCAGGCAGACAAGGTGGTCACACCTTGCGTTGTTTTCGTTTGATGTGATTGGCCAGTGGTGATTACTTTGGTTTTGGTAACAGAAAACTGCTTAAAAAGCGCGGGAAAATCTGTGCGTCCCTTGAAAAGAAAACCTCTCGGCATGTTTGGCCCAACTAGCTGCAGCATATAACTGCAGTTATTACTTTTAACTAATCAAATATATAGTTATTTCCCTTGTCCCCTGACGTTGCGCATGTGCGCCTTCGTGTAACATTGTTACGGAAAACACCGCCTTTAGTGGTTAAATTTAACCTCACAAGTTTGTCAAAACATGTTCTCGTGTGTTTAATTCAGTTCAGATGATAGCTTTTAATCGCAAGAAGTTCTTCACTTCGGCGTATTTTGTAAGCGAAACTTCAAGGACGATATGTTACGTTGAATTTTTACAATTTCTCAAAAACTTTACTATTATTTGTTTAAACGGTCGCTTGAATTTCTCAGTTTCGTTGTTTAGCTGTCAATCACAGCTTTCTAATAAACATCATTTTTGTGCGATCGTAAGTGTGAAAAAAAATAACAACCCTTGTTTCTCTTTACAGAAACTGATATCGTGGTATACTTTTGTAATCTTGCATTCATTGGTTAAGTTAAATAATTAATAATTAAGTAATAATTATAACTTATATAACGCGCAAATGTCCATGTAATGCTCAGTCGCAAAAATTACATAAAAATTATGATACATTAAAAGATTTAAACGTGGAGGGTAAAATGACATTACTTTAAAATAAAGGTTAATTTGTTAGTAGAAATCATAGTAATTAATGTTAAGTTCTTGGTTCACTCTCTGTGCCAAACCGCAGCAGGTAATGTAATTTATTGCGGCGAATAGAATTACCAACAAAATAAAACATGAATTAAGATAGCAAGATTAAGGGCCTTAGTAACTCTACAAATTTTTGTTGTTGAAAACAATGCTTAACTTAGATTATTGTAAGGTGTAGCACAAGAAGGGCTCAAACAAGCAGTTTGAATGGGCGGATATTTTCCTTAGAGGAAACATAGTTTTTGTCTACCGCTTGCAATAACCTGTCCGATGTCAGTTGGAATAACTAGTTATTTATTATTTACTAAATATAACCTCAAGCATGTCAAGTGCATGTCTAATTAACAAATGGAACACTTTTTGATGAATTGAATACCGCAGCAACTCTATCGTCAACTACACTTTCTTGCAGAAGTAGCAGGTTTCCACAGTACTGGGGGAAACAGAGGAAATGAGGTATAATGGTTTACAAGCAAAGGACGATGGAAAACGTGTTGATGAGAGTTGGTTGACCGTCGAGGGAATTTTATGAGGTTTACATAATGCCACAGGTACGTTTAGGGAAAAGGAAATTGTGTGACAAAACCAACAAAAAGGTGGCCAAAATTTAGGTGAAATCTTGTAGAGAGGTGATAGGAAAGATAAACATTTAGATAAAAGGTGACTGCACATGTGACTAATTTATTGAAAGGTTGTTCGCTGTCCTCTCTATAAATGCGACACTGATTTCGCAATGCAACACAACATGGACATGTTCCAAATTTTGCAAATTGTTCTGGAGATCGGTATAACAGAGTCACAGGGGTTAATGGTGGAACAAATCAAATTAGATATAGATTGAAAACAGTTTCATCTCTCTTATTTAGAGCCGGCCTTTTAATGCGAAAAATATTTATTTCGAATTAGAAATTCACCACCCTTCATAAATTACCCACGCAGGACCATTGTTACTTTCACAAGAAACTGTTTTTGTTTCATTGGAAGTAAAAGTGAAAAAGATTCTTTCTGTTTATTGATTTAATTGATAGGGTATATTTCTAACTCTTAAATACGCTTGGTATTAATTTGTGCGTCTTTTGGTTTAATGCTAGGATGTGCATACAAATTTCTCAGTTTCAAGCGTTGCCGAAATCTTGCAATAATGGACTTTGATTCTACGGAGTAGAACAGTAGTTTAAAGAGGCTCACGTATTGTATTTTGAGTAATTTGGGCACTTACAAAATCACCTTAAATAGAAGAAAACCTGAAAACTGAAGTTTACTAAGATAGAGAAACACCAAGGAGATAGTAATAAACCATAAAGGAACAAGGATGGTTAAAGATGGCGAAGCCAGATTAACACGATTACAAACGACAAACTTGAAAGATTTGGTCAGGCTAAATGCTTCAAGACGCTCAAACCGTGACTAAGCTCCTTTAAGGAACCCTAATGTAACGAAGACCCCGGTAAAAAATTTTGTGCATTTGATCAATAAATTTTTATGCTTGGAAATCCTCATCGGTATAAAGAGATTAGTAGCAAGGATAAAAAGCATTCCTTTATTGGACAATGAGAGTTGCGCAGCCCATGACGAAGCTAAATATAGATATTAGTGGCAGCAGCTGTGATTTCTTCTCTTAGTTCATGCTCTCTCGCGCTGTGCACATTTATCAAATGCAAGTGGTGATGCGGTTTTGTTGTGGATCCTCAGCAATTATTGAATTACCACAAAGCTGAGTCAATTTGGAGGCGGCGTGGCCGAGTGGTTTAGGGCGCTGGATTTGAAATCTGGAGGTCCCTGGTTCAAACCCTCCTCCCTATCGCTATCTGGATTTGTTCTCGGTAGCCCCGAGTTCAACTCCTCGGCCGCGTTGTGTAAATAGCCAACTGGTCAGCCTCCCACCACTTGGGATTCTTAATAGTTTATGTTATATTTGAAATATTCGTTTCTTTATGTACAGTGTCCCCAATTAGCACATTAGTGCTAAATACATCGACACTTAAATAAAGTGATTATTATAATTTAATATCAATATGTTGTCACATTTGAAAAAATTAACGTTTCTAAATGGATGACTCGCTGTACACACGCCCTACAAGGTATTAGGAAAGAGATTCCTTCATCTTTGACTGTGTTCTGGCTTTTAAAAATAATCAGGAGACAGCTTCAGTCTCAACCATACCTACTCACTTATAAATTCAAATGCACTCACAGAACTGAAGAAAGACTAAAACTATATAAATATTCGGTTTCTTCGACCTTCATAAACCAAAAGATTTCAGATGGCCTCTCACAAGGCACTTAATCAGAAATTTAAAATATACCTAGTGGACTAATCAAAGCAACAAGCCACGAATCACGACTAGAAGAGAAATAACTTTGACTCTAAATTTCACTCAGTGGTGCCTTGACCAATACCGAAGTAAACCCTGACTAAAACTACTGTGAAACACTTGAAGTATCTAATTCTTTATAAGTGGCGCACGACGCATCTTAAAACGATGGCCAATCACGTTAGCGGTTCGAAATTTGTTTTGATCCTCGGTGGTATTAAACTATCCATGTTTATTTTGCCTCAATACATATTGCTTTTCGTGTTTTTCCTAACATAAAAAGCTGTTATTTCTGCCGGGTTTTGCTTACCTTTGAACCTAATCTTGTACATCAGAAAAACCTGCCACACAGATATATTTCCTTTAACGTTAACACATGTGCTCGAACATAACTTAAGGTGACTCTAACACACACTGAGGCATAGCATAACGGGTTTTTTGTTGGTATATTTTTAAACAGGTCCCACGACAGCTTAGCTGATTTTTAAGTTCCATGGAGTTGTTAGCAGGTTTGAAATGTGGAGGAAGCAACATCGTCTTGCTTTTGGCCTTGCGATTCCTGTGGAAAACTACAGAAGCTACGACGATATCGACGTAAATGATACCTTCTTTAAGTTTAGTTTCAATGCTGATCACAGGGCTTCAGAGACTTTTCACCCCCACCCTCCCCTCCCTATGTACTGAATTCTTACGCAACATTTAGGCCCCGAACACACTAATCAATCAATCAATCAATCAATCAAACTTTATTTAAAGAGGGTTAACCCTTAATATGTGGCCCTCGAATGCGTTTTCGCACACACTTATGCTCCGTTTTCGACTCAACAAAAACAAAGCAAAGTATTTTCGCCCATACTAGCGTTTTCGGCCGGTTTGTTTTCACCTGTATACACCAATGCGTTTTCCCATGAAAACGCATACTTTTTGATACGTTTTCCCCCTTTGCACGATCCGGTCACATGGTACGGAATTAATTATGCTGGGACGCAAGTTACACAGTGGGACTTCCAAAATAAAGGAACTCGTACCAGTCCAGTCCGACTTTCTTTTGTTTTGACAGTCCCACTGTGTAACTTACGTCCCAGCGTAATTAATTCCGTTCCATGTAACCGGATCGTGCAAAGGGCCTGTCTTCAACACTAAAACGCCCGATAACGACAGTATATGACGCTTTTTTCGTCACCGATTTCAAGAGCCTCCGTTTTCATGTGTACACGCTAGAAATAAGGCGTTTTCCAAGGGCTCCACTTTTGAAACCGCTTTCGAAAGCCTCTGTTTTCATCAGCGTTTTCGGTCGATTAGTGTGGTCGGAGCCTTACTCATCGGTTAGGTTTGAAGCTAAAAGTTTATAGATCCTCAGGTAACCTTGATTCTTGGGTGGGGCCATAACTGAAATGATTCGGACAATTGTAATACGTCGCTTTCCAAGTCTGCATGTAAGAGATTGAAACGTTTTACAGCACAAATTTTTTACTTCTTGTCAATTTGTCAGGGTGAATCAAGAGAATTGCTTTCATCCCGACCACGAAAGCTCCTCGCAATTGCAGTATTTCAAAAATGAATCATGGCAGACGACCTCGCTTGGAGAACTTCTTCAGCAAATGCTGCAGTGCTATGATTCACGAGTTCGGGTTGAACACGGCGGAAGTAAGTAACAATCAGTAACAATAAGCAAATGCCTGGATCGCGGGCGCACCGAAACACCACGGCTGGAGTCTGAGCCAATCTTACTTCCCGATTTGACTGCAATTTCAATTCAGCTGTGGTAGGTTGGTAGGTACGCATTGTCCACGTCAGGGCTCTTCTCGTTTGCGCATGACTGACAGTGAGAAGAGCAAAGCGAAGGGTCGAGAATGTGTAAGACTAGATACTGGCTAGTGGCCTTTAAATCAGGCACCGTTTTAACCGCGGTTTTTGAAGCATCTTATCAGTTAAGAATGTTAATTCTCTACCCTCTGGGTTGGATGCTACTCAATAGACTTCTCTCGCTGCATGTTATATTCAACAAGTTTGACACGCAACCAATGACAGTTTGGCGTACCGAACTAAAATATCCAGCCCTTGGGTGGAGAGAAGCCACACATACTAAGATGTTCCTCCTAAAGGAAGCAAATAACAGTACGCTGTTAACCGATGAAGCAGTTTTTAAACAAGAAACTATTCTATGTTCAACTTCGCATTACACCCTTAGCCTTCTAATATATTTCTTTGTTCTAGGAGGTAATCCCACCACGGTGGTCGTTAGTTTATATATTTTGTCCATCGGGAATTTCCAAGTTCGCGACATGGTAAGAGAAGAAGGACTTTTGGCTTAAAAGCCAACGTTTCTGCACAAAGTGCAGATGATAAAACAAACGCATTGCAGCACCGGAATACTCCAGAACATTATAAATCTTTTCGTGAAGCAAATTAAGGGAGCTACATCACGGTTTGCGCATCTTGAAAAGTTTAGCCTAAATTTTTCAAGTTCGTCATTTGTAATCCGTGTTGATCTTCTTCATCCTTAACCATCCTTGTTCCTTTATGGTTTATTATTCAGTATCTCTTTGGTGTTTTTCTATCTTAGTAAACTACTATTTTCAGGTTTCCTCAAATTTAAAGGTTATTTTGTCCAAGGCCAAAATTAACTCACAATGCTTTGAATGAGCTCCAATAAGCTACAACATTGATTTTTGAGCTGAGGGAGTAGATATGCCCTCGAAATTTTATTGATGACTTTCTGTTTCTTTTTGTTAATGATCATTTTTTAATCTGTCCGTTCATTAAGTGTTTTACAAATCCTCTTTCTATGTGTGGAGTGTAACGTTCCCTGAACGTTAATCGGCATCCATCTACCTGGCCTTGAAGCACTATCCCTGGTTGATGCGCTCGTAATTATGAGGGTCCAATATAGACTTGTTCAATCCCGCATCCCGACACTATTGAAGCTCAATCCCGCCATCCCGCCACATTGAGAATGTTTCTCCCGATCCCGCCTGGTTATTCAGTTGCAGTTCTCCGCGTAACATCCATTACCTGTGATTTTCTGTTTTTCATTCCTCATCTCCAATCCTGCAGTCAGTTTAAACCTTTTCAGCATCCTCCCTATCAAAATGAGCAAATCCCTCTCCCGCCGAAATATTTTTCTCCCGTATCCCGTCATTAAATTTTCTTTCATCCGGCATCCCGCATCCCGCCTCCACTCTTACTCTCATCCTGCATCTCGCCAAACCTGTGTTGGATCCTCGGAATCATCCCATCTCGAGTTTAGTTTAAAAGAATTATATGAGTGAAAAGTATTAATTTTTACTCCTGTAATTTTAGGATTTTCAGTTGTCCTTTTACTTCAGACAACAATGGCAAGATTCTCGTTTGGCTTATGGGAATCATTTTCACGAAGAAAAAATCACTTTGGGTGGAGGAATCCTTGAACAGTTGTGGCTTCCACAGACGTATTTTGTCAACAAGAAAGGATCCAGCACCAGTGTGGATGCAAATTTTTTTGTGCGAATTTTTCCCGATGGATCATTGCTTGTAATCACCAAGTAAGTTTCTTCTTTCGTTAAGTTTCTTTTTTCATTAACGATTCACCAAGTTTAAACAATTAATTAATTATAAGGAAATCACGACTTTGACTGCGTTTGGATATCTGATCTTAATTAGCATAGATTTTTACGATTGAAAACAAATGAAAAGATATATTATTTAACACCCAAGACAGTGTTTGACCACATTTCCAAGCATCTCGAACTTCGTTAAAAATACTCCACCTCTTGTCGTATTTTCAACTCTCTTCCCAGTGTTTGGAAATGTGTCAAACAAGGCCTTTCTTGTTCGGCGTGTTTGATATATGACTTAAAACAAGCTTTTCATAAAGGAGCTGGACTCAATCTGTTTGACTCAATCTGTATCTGTTTTAGAGTGCATTCATTATTTTTCTCGATATTCATAAAATTGTTCTGATTGGCCAACGAGGTGAGGTACTGGAGACAAATTAAAAGAGGCATAAACAAGATTTCGGGCTATAATCGACAAGCTACGCAGATAAGGATCATGCTGTAGCAAAGGGGTTAATTCTCTTGTTTTATTGTCTCTCGAGGGCAACTTTAATAAATCTTACCTTTTCACAACTTGCAAATAAATCCATTCCAGCAACACTTGAAGAGTGACAAAGATCCTCCGATTGCGTTTAGGGATTCCCGAAGACTTTCCGAAGATTTTAGGCCGAAAATGTTCCGTTCCGAATGTATATTTAAATTCGGGAAGAATTTTAACTTGTCAGCTTTTACTCTCTCTTCAGAAATACACTTACGATGGATTGCTACATGGATTTAAGAAACTTTCCATTTGATGTTCAGAAGTGCAACTTGACAATAGAGAGCTGTAAGTTCACAAGACTATAACCGGGGGGGGGGGTACTCCCTTTTATGGGCTATACAGGTATGTGCGACCCCAAATGGTGTGGTTTTCAGCTGTTTGTTCAGAAATGGGGTATCGATTTTGGCCATCTTGGTCTCAAATGGGGTATGGTTTTGCAGCTGCAGTCTATTCTTGAATTGGATATGATTTTTCGAAGAAGCTATCCTATCTAATAAAAGGGTATAAACATCCCCTTTAACATCGGTCTGAACTAAGAAACTAATTATAAAACAGGTCTGAAACAGGGTACATGTATTGATTTAAGGGTCGGGCCTTAAACAGAGTATCGAATGTTTAGTCAGGTCATAAACAGGGCAGGGAATATCGTAGATTTTGGTCTTAAATAGGGTAAGGGTTTTGGGAAGCGAACCGCACGCCCTACTCTGGGAGTACTCTCCCCGGGGACTATAACTTGTTGAGTCTTTTTCAACGAGATCTATCACTACTTCTTAAGGTTGAAATGACAGATTCTTGATTTTTCAAATTTCGTGTTCATTTTTCAAGTTGGTTTCACCACCAAAGATGTAGTGTATAAGTGGATTTCAAGTAAGAGTACTGAAGCGGTGGAACAGGATCCTGGACTCACTACATCAGAGTTTGACATTGGTCCGATTAGAATATTTGAATCTGCTACATTGTATAAAACAGGTAAGTAAAAACAAGTCATGGCTGACGAAGTTACAATATGACCTCAATAGTTTGTCATTTCTAAAAAACAAGTAGCAGCTACTGGCAACATCTCGTCTCCAAGAGTTGACTGAGCCCTCATTTTTTGTCACCGAAGTTGCCATGCAACATGACGTATTCACATTACGCTATCCTGGCGTGACTGCTTTCGTAGTACTCACCTTCAGAACGATCTTTGCTTACATCATTGTTCACATTTTTCCTCATTAACATACGATAGACTAGCATTGAAGAAATTGAGTACAAACATTTAAAGAGCAAGTAGAACTTAGTAATTGATAAAATGTTTGGTTCTTTGGATGTAGTATTCAAGGAGGAATTGGCTTTCAACAACTGCAAAATGTCCGGGTGGCAAAAGCGCTAATGAGCTCGAACATTCTTTGTAAAATTTTCAGTTTTTAAACCTGCGTAACACAAAAAGTATTCAATACACCGGGCTCAAATTCCGTGGGACAGTTAATGGTGCTAAGCCCTTTTCAATATTCACACCTCATGCTTTTGTAGCTCCATTAGAAGCTGTACCGCTTATGCTAAAGAGGCAAATATTGTTAACAACGATTCTCCTATTGGATAATAAGAACCGAAAATTCTTGGAGTCAGAAAGGTACTTGATCCCGCGACTGACCACTGACCAAGAAATTTCTTTAATAATTTCCAGTTTCAATGAAAACAGTTTTACCCCGATATCAGAATCACATTCAGTAAAATTTGTCTGCAAATATTTAATTTGTATTTGTTTAGGTTTGTTTTCAAGCTTGAAAATGGAACTGAACTTCCAAAGAAGATCTGTTTATTACCTGATACAAATTTACATTCCCAGTGGCATGATAGTAGTGTTGTCCTGGGTGAGTGTTTTTTTCAGTATAGTTCCAATGAAAGTTTAAAGAGATATTAAAAGTACTGTAACTAGTAACTTATTTATATATAGTGTTTCCATATGGCGTCACCACAGCCACGTTGGTGTCCCAAACCAATGAAACGGCGGCCATGTTGGTGTCCCAAACCAATCCTGTGGGAGTNCAATCAATCAATCAATCAATCAATCAAACTTTATTTAAAGAGGGTTAACCCTTAATATGTGGCCCTCGAATGCGTTTTCGCACACACTTATGCTCCGTTTTCGACTCAACAAAAACAAAGCAAAGTATTTTCGCCCATACTAGCGTTTTCGGCCGGTTTGTTTTCACCTGTATACACCAATGCGTTTTCCCATGAAAACGCATACTTTTTGATACGTTTTCCCCCTTTGCACGATCCGGTCACATGGTACGGAATTAATTATGCTGGGACGCAAGTTACACAGTGGGACTTCCAAAATAAAGGAACTCGTACCAGTCCAGTCCGACTTTCTTTTGTTTTGACAGTCCCACTGTGTAACTTACGTCCCAGCGTAATTAATTCCGTTCCATGTAACCGGATCGTGCAAAGGGCCTGTCTTCAACACTAAAACGCCCGATAACGACAGTATATGACGCTTTTTTCGTCACCGATTTCAAGAGCCTCCGTTTTCATGTGTACACGCTAGAAATAAGGCGTTTTCCAAGGGCTCCACTTTTGAAACCGCTTTCGAAAGCCTCTGTTTTCATCAGCGTTTTCGGTCGATTAGTGTGGTCGGAGCCTTACTCATCGGTTAGGTTTGAAGCTAAAAGTTTATAGATCCTCAGGTAACCTTGATTCTTGGGTGGGGCCATAACTGAAATGATTCGGACAATTGTAATACGTCGCTTTCCAAGTCTGCATGTAAGAGATTGAAACGTTTTACAGCACAAATTTTTTACTTCTTGTCAATTTGTCAGGGTGAATCAAGAGAATTGCTTTCATCCCGACCACGAAAGCTCCTCGCAATTGCAGTATTTCAAAAATGAATCATGGCAGACGACCTCGCTTGGAGAACTTCTTCAGCAAATGCTGCAGTGCTATGATTCACGAGTTCGGGTTGAACACGGCGGAAGTAAGTAACAATCAGTAACAATAAGCAAATGCCTGGATCGCGGGCGCACCGAAACACCACGGCTGGAGTCTGAGCCAATCTTACTTCCCGATTTGACTGCAATTTCAATTCAGCTGTGGTAGGTTGGTAGGTACGCATTGTCCACGTCAGGGCTCTTCTCGTTTGCGCATGACTGACAGTGAGAAGAGCAAAGCGAAGGGTCGAGAATGTGTAAGACTAGATACTGGCTAGTGGCCTTTAAATCAGGCACCGTTTTAACCGCGGTTTTTGAAGCATCTTATCAGTTAAGAATGTTAATTCTCTACCCTCTGGGTTGGATGCTACTCAATAGACTTCTCTCGCTGCATGTTATATTCAACAAGTTTGACACGCAACCAATGACAGTTTGGCGTACCGAACTAAAATATCCAGCCCTTGGGTGGAGAGAAGCCACACATACTAAGATGTTCCTCCTAAAGGAAGCAAATAACAGTACGCTGTTAACCGATGAAGCAGTTTTTAAACAAGAAACTATTCTATGTTCAACTTCGCATTACACCCTTAGCCTTCTAATATATTTCTTTGTTCTAGGAGGTAATCCCACCACGGTGGTCGTTAGTTTATATATTTTGTCCATCGGGAATTTCCAAGTTCGCGACATGGTAAGAGAAGAAGGACTTTTGGCTTAAAAGCCAACGTTTCTGCACAAAGTGCAGATGATAAAACAAACGCATTGCAGCACCGGAATACTCCAGAACATTATAAATCTTTTCGTGAAGCAAATTAAGGGAGCTACATCACGGTTTGCGCATCTTGAAAAGTTTAGCCTAAATTTTTCAAGTTCGTCATTTGTAATCCGTGTTGATCTTCTTCATCCTTAACCATCCTTGTTCCTTTATGGTTTATTATTCAGTATCTCTTTGGTGTTTTTCTATCTTAGTAAACTACTATTTTCAGGTTTCCTCAAATTTAAAGGTTATTTTGTCCAAGGCCAAAATTAACTCACAATGCTTTGAATGAGCTCCAATAAGCTACAACATTGATTTTTGAGCTGAGGGAGTAGATATGCCCTCGAAATTTTATTGATGACTTTCTGTTTCTTTTTGTTAATGATCATTTTTTAATCTGTCCGTTCATTAAGTGTTTTACAAATCCTCTTTCTATGTGTGGAGTGTAACGTTCCCTGAACGTTAATCGGCATCCATCTACCTGGCCTTGAAGCACTATCCCTGGTTGATGCGCTCGTAATTATGAGGGTCCAATATAGACTTGTTCAATCCCGCATCCCGACACTATTGAAGCTCAATCCCGCCATCCCGCCACATTGAGAATGTTTCTCCCGATCCCGCCTGGTTATTCAGTTGCAGTTCTCCGCGTAACATCCATTACCTGTGATTTTCTGTTTTTCATTCCTCATCTCCAATCCTGCAGTCAGTTTAAACCTTTTCAGCATCCTCCCTATCAAAATGAGCAAATCCCTCTCCCGCCGAAATATTTTTCTCCCGTATCCCGTCATTAAATTTTCTTTCATCCGGCATCCCGCATCCCGCCTCCACTCTTACTCTCATCCTGCATCTCGCCAAACCTGTGTTGGATCCTCGGAATCATCCCATCTCGAGTTTAGTTTAAAAGAATTATATGAGTGAAAAGTATTAATTTTTACTCCTGTAATTTTAGGATTTTCAGTTGTCCTTTTACTTCAGACAACAATGGCAAGATTCTCGTTTGGCTTATGGGAATCATTTTCACGAAGAAAAAATCACTTTGGGTGGAGGAATCCTTGAACAGTTGTGGCTTCCACAGACGTATTTTGTCAACAAGAAAGGATCCAGCACCAGTGTGGATGCAAATTTTTTTGTGCGAATTTTTCCCGATGGATCATTGCTTGTAATCACCAAGTAAGTTTCTTCTTTCGTTAAGTTTCTTTTTTCATTAACGATTCACCAAGTTTAAACAATTAATTAATTATAAGGAAATCACGACTTTGACTGCGTTTGGATATCTGATCTTAATTAGCATAGATTTTTACGATTGAAAACAAATGAAAAGATATATTATTTAACACCCAAGACAGTGTTTGACCACATTTCCAAGCATCTCGAACTTCGTTAAAAATACTCCACCTCTTGTCGTATTTTCAACTCTCTTCCCAGTGTTTGGAAATGTGTCAAACAAGGCCTTTCTTGTTCGGCGTGTTTGATATATGACTTAAAACAAGCTTTTCATAAAGGAGCTGGACTCAATCTGTTTGACTCAATCTGTATCTGTTTTAGAGTGCATTCATTATTTTTCTCGATATTCATAAAATTGTTCTGATTGGCCAACGAGGTGAGGTACTGGAGACAAATTAAAAGAGGCATAAACAAGATTTCGGGCTATAATCGACAAGCTACGCAGATAAGGATCATGCTGTAGCAAAGGGGTTAATTCTCTTGTTTTATTGTCTCTCGAGGGCAACTTTAATAAATCTTACCTTTTCACAACTTGCAAATAAATCCATTCCAGCAACACTTGAAGAGTGACAAAGATCCTCCGATTGCGTTTAGGGATTCCCGAAGACTTTCCGAAGATTTTAGGCCGAAAATGTTCCGTTCCGAATGTATATTTAAATTCGGGAAGAATTTTAACTTGTCAGCTTTTACTCTCTCTTCAGAAATACACTTACGATGGATTGCTACATGGATTTAAGAAACTTTCCATTTGATGTTCAGAAGTGCAACTTGACAATAGAGAGCTGTAAGTTCACAAGACTATAACCGGGGGGGGGGGGTACTCCCTTTTATGGGCTATACAGGTATGTGCGACCCCAAATGGTGTGGTTTTCAGCTGTTTGTTCAGAAATGGGGTATCGATTTTGGCCATCTTGGTCTCAAATGGGGTATGGTTTTGCAGCTGCAGTCTATTCTTGAATTGGATATGATTTTTCGAAGAAGCTATCCTATCTAATAAAAGGGTATAAACATCCCCTTTAACATCGGTCTGAACTAAGAAACTAATTATAAAACAGGTCTGAAACAGGGTACATGTATTGATTTAAGGGTCGGGCCTTAAACAGAGTATCGAATGTTTAGTCAGGTCATAAACAGGGCAGGGAATATCGTAGATTTTGGTCTTAAATAGGGTAAGGGTTTTGGGAAGCGAACCGCACGCCCTACTCTGGGAGTACTCTCCCCGGGGACTATAACTTGTTGAGTCTTTTTCAACGAGATCTATCACTACTTCTTAAGGTTGAAATGACAGATTCTTGATTTTTCAAATTTCGTGTTCATTTTTCAAGTTGGTTTCACCACCAAAGATGTAGTGTATAAGTGGATTTCAAGTAAGAGTACTGAAGCGGTGGAACAGGATCCTGGACTCACTACATCAGAGTTTGACATTGGTCCGATTAGAATATTTGAATCTGCTACATTGTATAAAACAGGTAAGTAAAAACAAGTCATGGCTGACGAAGTTACAATATGACCTCAATAGTTTGTCATTTCTAAAAAACAAGTAGCAGCTACTGGCAACATCTCGTCTCCAAGAGTTGACTGAGCCCTCATTTTTTGTCACCGAAGTTGCCATGCAACATGACGTATTCACATTACGCTATCCTGGCGTGACTGCTTTCGTAGTACTCACCTTCAGAACGATCTTTGCTTACATCATTGTTCACATTTTTCCTCATTAACATACGATAGACTAGCATTGAAGAAATTGAGTACAAACATTTAAAGAGCAAGTAGAACTTAGTAATTGATAAAATGTTTGGTTCTTTGGATGTAGTATTCAAGGAGGAATTGGCTTTCAACAACTGCAAAATGTCCGGGTGGCAAAAGCGCTAATGAGCTCGAACATTCTTTGTAAAATTTTCAGTTTTTAAACCTGCGTAACACAAAAAGTATTCAATACACCGGGCTCAAATTCCGTGGGACAGTTAATGGTGCTAAGCCCTTTTCAATATTCACACCTCATGCTTTTGTAGCTCCATTAGAAGCTGTACCGCTTATGCTAAAGAGGCAAATATTGTTAACAACGATTCTCCTATTGGATAATAAGAACCGAAAATTCTTGGAGTCAGAAAGGTACTTGATCCCGCGACTGACCACTGACCAAGAAATTTCTTTAATAATTTCCAGTTTCAATGAAAACAGTTTTACCCCGATATCAGAATCACATTCAGTAAAATTTGTCTGCAAATATTTAATTTGTATTTGTTTAGGTTTGTTTTCAAGCTTGAAAATGGAACTGAACTTCCAAAGAAGATCTGTTTATTACCTGATACAAATTTACATTCCCAGTGGCATGATAGTAGTGTTGTCCTGGGTGAGTGTTTTTTTCAGTATAGTTCCAATGAAAGTTTAAAGAGATATTAAAAGTACTGTAACTAGTAACTTATTTATATATAGTGTTTCCATATGGCGTCACCACAGCCACGTTGGTGTCCCAAACCAATGAAACGGCGGCCATGTTGGTGTCCCAAACCAATCCTGTGGGAGTTCAACACTTTTCTTATATAATCACTTTCCTTTGCTTTAATAAACTCGCACTGTGGCTGTTGGCCACGTGGGTTAAACGCTCTATTCTTAGGACTGTATCATGTAGCTGTTGCCCAGGTTATTCAAAGAATTCGCGCAGTTTCGTTGGAAGTGTCAGGGGCTTAGCCAGGATTTTTCAAAGGGGGGTCACACTCTGTAAAAGTGAGGGTACTCACAAGGTTGTCATGTCGCTTTCGCCTGTTGTAAGTTGTTTGCTTAAAAAAGGCTTACAAAAGTGGGGTCACGGGCACCCCAGGCCCCTCCCCCCTAGCTACGCCCCTGAGCATATGACGGATTCCTTAAGTAGGATTAGTTGTCCTGGTGATGCCTCTGATCAATTTTATCTTCACTGCACATTTCCACAGATATCTTTCTGGATAGATAATCAGTCGATTCCAGCCAGAACTGCGCTTGGTATCACCACAGTGCTCGCCATGACAACGCTCTTATTTGGTGTCCAGTCCTCATTACCAAGTGTGCCGTATATCAAAGCCGTGGACTTATTCATGATTGTATCATTCGCTAACGTCTTCGCTGCACTGGTGGAGTTTGCGGTTGTGAACTATACAAGCATGCGCGAAAAGGAGAGGAAGGAATCAAAGCCATCCAAAAATACGAAAAAGAAATACACTGTGGTAAGTAAATCTCACATTTACAGCCGCAAGATACTTAAGCTAGCCCAGTATCAAGATTGCAATGCATAAGGCTGCGGTACTAAAAAAATAAATTATTATGCATATTTCAGATGATCTGCATCCATTCTCGGTTTTCATTACAGAGAAACCAATATAATGCATTTAAACCCGTGGTTGCGGTTTTCCTGCGTTTATCGCAGGCCACGTGCTTCTGGCGGTTGCTACCGGTAACACGCTACGCCACTCTTGTTCCCGCGCTTATTGCTGGTTACCACTACGCCGTTGTGACTAATCAAACATGTCGCCGGCAACTTACCCTGTGCTGCTTTTTTCTCACTTTCCATTGGCCACTTTGTTGATTTGTGAACTTATCCGTTACCTCACATTTTGCTACCGTACTGACTCGCTCAGTCGGAATAGGGTAAATCCTCGAATTAGTAGCGCCGGGGGAGCATATTTCAAATTTAGAAGAAGAAGCGGGGCGCTTATTCGAGGGAGGCGCTTAATCGAGAGGGTGGGGTGTTTATTTAATTTTTCTCCAAATCGTGGTCAGATATGATCGGGGTTTTTTTGTAGTATATGTATGTGTCAGTCCCTCAAAAGTCTCAGAAGGATCCTATTTCTTTTGAAAAACTACATATTATAACCCCTTTAGCCATCCATTGCGACAGTCGATGTGCAGTGCTTGAATGAGTCGATAATCACTTGCTTGTGATTAACCACGACCAAAACTATACATCTGTTGTTGTCTCAGTACTCTTCCGTAAAACTGGGGGAGGGGAGTGGGGCGGTTATTCGAGGTGAGGGGCTTGTTTCAAGTTTTGGCCCACATGAGCGGGGGCGGGGGGCTTATTTGAGGGGAGGCGTTGAAGTCGAGGATTTACGACAAACTTAGGAAAGCCTCTACTGAGATATATCTTTCGTCAGCAGAATCCTGACATTGTTATGCTAAACTTCCGAAATTTATCATATGAAAATGACGCGGGAAACGAGCACCATTTACAAAATGGCGTTACTCAAAATGGCGTGACCCAAAATGGCGTGACCCAAAGTGGAATGACCCAAAATGGTGCTATCAATAACATTCGCAACTCTCTTCACAAACGGGACGCACAGATCAGCAATGGTACTATTGGTGAACACAACCCACCTGATCAAACGTTTCTGTCACGTGATTACCCACACGTGCAAGAACCTCCATTCAATCGTCCAAACAGGTGCCGCTGGAGATGTAAAATCACAGCCAATGCTATCGATGCTTGGTCACGTGTTCTCTTTCCGTTAGCATACGGACTTTTTATAGTCGCTTATTGGATAATTTATTCATCGGCGAACACGGACAAAACGAGCCTATGAATGAGAGGCAGTGGGAAAATATGTTCAATTCTGATTGGTATGCAAGTACGTACACGTAAACACAGAGAATGGACTAGAGAGTTAAGTGGAAATGACAAATAAGTAAAGTGACTTTTTCCAAAGGCCAGCCACCTGACTCGTACCAGATTTTAATTGGAATCTCTGTATTTATAAGGAGAAATTTCAGGCATGAAATTCCTTTCACCTAGAGCTAGAAAAGAAAAGATAGGAATCGTCCATTGCTTTGCAGTTGAAATTCTTGCATGTACAATTTTGGATGACAGACCGTGATTTGAAGTTTCAAAGACAACTGGTCATCTAATGAAAGCCGAGATACTTCAAGAGTATGATAAACGTAGGAGACTTACTAACAACAAAAATAGCAAAACATTTTCATGGAATTTTTCTCTTCCCAGGAACTATAATACTTACATGGTATATAATGCTTACTCTTCGCAAGGCCCACGAAATGGCTAATTCCCTCTACGAGATGCTCCTGCAGGGAATCATGGTAGTTGTATTCATCATCTTGGACTGGACACTACCATGATACCTTGCAGGCGCATCTCATAGAGGAAATTGACCATTTAAACACATTTATAATCCTCAATAGACCAATTCCGATATATTAAAATTCAGCCTAACACAATAGACCTCAGCACGAGGCTCTGGGGAATAAACCCCACAAACTCTGTAGTTATTCCCCAGAGCCTCGTACTGAGGTCTATTGTTTTAGGCTGAATTTAAATATATCGAAATTGGTCTATTTAATAAACACGTTTACGTAATATTTCGGTAACAGGTAGCGCATGTTTTCCATGGCTTAAGACTGAAATGTTGAGTTTATAGTAAAATTATTAATATTTTCAATGAAAGTACAATTTGGCTTTACTTGCAAATTCAAATTGCGATGGATGTTGCGAAAGTAGGAGCTAAGGCCCCATCCAAACTACGTCGGAAGAATTTGAAAACAGAGGTTTCACTTTGAAAACACATCAAATGTTTTCCTTTTACACTATGGCGGAGGAATTTAGAAACGCAGCATTGACTGGTACCCCCCCTCTGGTCATTTTGGATTTGTGTTTGAGGAAAACTCCGTCAAGGCAGTCACATGTTTATCGTGACGCCATCGTTTTCGAAAAGCTCCGTTTTCAAAATGTTTTTCGTCCACACGAAAACGAAAAGCCGGCGTTTTTAAAATCCTCTGGTTTGGAGTGCGTTTTCGGAAAGCTCCGTTTTCGTGACGGATTAGTGTGGACGGTAGGCCTAACCTTAGGGGAAATATAGCTGCGTTTTCAAATTTCTCCCGGCGAAGTGTGGACGCTGCTTAAAAAGCTCGATGGCACGGACAGGACATTTTAACTTACACAACTGTACTCCGAGCATCATGTTCAAGTCAAATAACTGACTCCAGACCTGAACATTCAGCAACCTGTCAATATTGAGCCCTGAATAGTGAAATTAGTCTTATAGTAATCTCCATAAAGTATTAAATTAAGGAATTTGAGTATAACCATTAAATGACTTTGCATTCGCTATTTTAAAGATAAATTATTTTAAACTGAAAGGTTAATCACTGTCTCATTACGAGAAAGAGAAAAAAACTTGGCCTCTCTTTCAGGATGAGGCTTGGTGCAGTCGTTATCCTTTCCAATCCTCCGTAGGAAAAACGATGGCGGCTGTATATTTCACCACAACTCACACCATGCGAGCCTTACATAGCCCTTAAAGTACAAGGAAAGCCACATTTTTGCAGTATTTGCCCCTGTGCTAACGAGATTGTGTATTCTAGGTTTGAATGATTTAGAACTTTTCTTTACGCTTTAATGAAGCGTTGTTCAAGTTTTCGTGCGCTAAGAATTATGGGTAAATGTACCAGTCGCCATCCTTTTTCCTTCCTTTTTTCCTTTCCTTTTTCCCGAGTATTGTTATCTCTTCATTCGTATGTATATAAACCTCATTTTAACCAGGAAGATTTTGCACCAACTGGTTAATGGTCACGGATCCATTTAGACCCAACGATAACAGCTTTAGTAATATAATCCCGAGAATGAAAATATCTTGCTGTAAATAATAGGCATCCATTGCACTTCAATATGAATAAACTTCAGACTAAACCAAAGATTTGATAAAACATGAGTTAAATAAAGTTGTGTTCTGTTTTCCTTTACATGACATTTCTTAAACAAAATTTATTGAAATAAATTAGCTCTAATAACTTTATGAAATCTTTATTTTGTCTCTCGTAAAACTCTTTAAATTTCACTGAACATGTAATCTTCAACGGCATTTCATACCTATGTATGATAATAATAATTATTTACATACTTGTATTTTTCAAATAGTACAGTTTAAAACATACTATATTATAAGATCACGTTTTCCACAATAGACTCATATAAGATAATCTTAAAGTATTTTCTTCTACTTGAAGTCTTTCTTTTTTCAATACTATGTTACTGGAACACATGAATATCTTCAATCGTTTTTCGGTCGAAAAACCCGTCCACTAGAATTGGCTGAGCCGCAGTATTTCATGATATAGTAGCGTGACGTAGCCATGGTGACAGGATGAACTGAATACTGTCTCATCTCATTCCCCATCGTGCCCCGCAGGACACCTAAGGCAAAAAAAAATACTGCATGGGGCTTTTTTAGAACCCTCTCTGATTGGATGCTAAGAATCGCCGGGGGACCAAACAACTTTTGTACCTCGTAAGCGTAATACTACCCTACGTAAAGTTTTATAAGCAAAATACAACAATGAAACCTCACCGCAAAGTTGGAAAACTCAAATTAAAATTGTATCTTTTCCTGGGTTAGCTTAATCGGGCTCTGAACAACCCGGCCCAGGAGCTACGCTTTTAGGCTGGTCTAAATCTATATATTACTACACCACGTAAAGGTTTATAAGCAAAATACAACAATATAACGTACGGTTTGGTTAAAAGGAAACTTGCATATGATTGAACAGAAGTGGAAATGGAAGTTATCTTTAGCAAGGATATCCTCTGACGATACAGAAAAATGGACGCAAGTAAAAAAGAACATCGCCATAATTCCTAACCAAATTTACATATACTTTCATAGTACCATGCTGAATCGAATCCGCCCCTAAAATAGCATGGTCTTTTAAATGAACTTTGCCAAAAAAAAAGTGTTTTGCTATAAGCTCGACTTCCGGCGCTCTCTCGCTTCCGGTGTTCAAGTTAAATTTTTTTGCTTTTTGTATTCAATCGTTGTAAAGCGTCCCTGGCACCATTGTGCCTGTGGTCTTTCTTGAGCACCTGATTAAAATAATATCTGGCTTCTTTAAGTGAACCCTTAAGCTCCAGAATCCGGCCAAGGACAAACTCAGCGTCCGTGCTGTAAACATCATGAGCGAGGATATAACGAACCTCGGACTCGGCAGAATCAAGCTCCCCCTGGTGGAAAAGGAAACTCATATAGTACACATGTTGTACAATACGAGGACACATTGGCAACAACAGCGACAACTACGACAAACTTACAACAACAACGACATCGCAGAGCGGTTTTCAATTGAGTGACATAAAACCAAAACCAAAGTAATCATTTTAGCCAATCACAAAGGACACAGACAATACAGTGAACCAATCGAAACTAACACGTACCTGACGTGAAGCGTGGGAAAACGTGTGTGAACGAGTCATGATTGGTTTTGGTTTTACTTCTGATTGGTTGAAAAAGTGGCGCGAGTTTTCTAAGCGAATAGGCCCTTTTCACGATCCGGTCACATGGTACGAAATAAATTATGCTGGGACGCAAGCTACACCGTGAGACTTCTAAAACAAAGGAAAGTCGGGCTGGACTGGTACGAGTTCCTTTGTTTTGGAAGTCCCAATGTGTAACTTGCGTCCCAGCATAATTTATTCCGTACCATGTGACCGGATCGTGCAAAAGGCCCATCGTGTAGCGCAGTAATGCAAAACCAATTACTTCTCGACAATCAAATGAAAACCGCTCTATTTCGACAATAACAATAACAACAACATCATCATCAGCAACAACAAAGACACTGAAAGAGTACCTTTACCTTAAGAAGGTGAATTTGAACAAGAAGGAGACGGGCATTTAAGTCCGAAGGATTTAATTTCACTCCTTTTTGTAAGTACTCTTCTCCCTAAAGAAATAAAATTATAATAAAACATTTCTTCAATAGAGATTTGATGTCTTTTAATGATTAGAATGTTAACCTTAACATAAAGATTAATGCAGAGTTATTACGATACTACTTTTTTAGAAGCAAAGTAATGATCTAAGCTGTTGTTGGTGATTAGAACCTCTAACGTTCGCACCACCAGTACGATGCAGTCCTTTACACCCCGCTGGGTTGTATTCCCTAAAAAATTGGGTAGGGGTGTGCGGCTCGCCTCCCAAAACCCTAACTCACCCTATTTAAGACAAAAATCTGCGATTTTGCTTACCCTATTTATGACCTGACCAAACATACGATACCCTATTTAAGACCTGACCCTTAAATCAATACACTGTTTCAGACCTGCCTTATAATTAGTTACCTAGTTCAGACCGATCAGTTTAAGTCTTTGTTAAGGGCTTTTGTTGATGGTCTTATCGATAATGATGAAAAAGTAGCTTCTCCTTCAAAGCATACCCAATTCAAGACTAGAGTGCAAAAACCATACCCAATTTGAGACCAAAATGACCAAAATCGATACTCTGTTTATGACCATAGTTAATAGAGGGGAATGGTTATGAAACTCGACAAAGTTCTTTGTTGTATGTATTTGTTCTCTTGTTTTGGCCTTGACCGTGCACAAAACGCAATAGCTGTTTACTACTGACCGAGGAACTAACCAATAGAAATGTTTTGATTACGTAACTCATGCATAGTGAATGAGCGCAAAACAAAAGATTGGGCACGGTCGTGGACCTTCCAACATAAACATTGCCATCGTTGTTTGCTGTTTTGACGCTTGCCGGGCTTCATAACCATTCCCCTCTATTAACTATATATTCTGACCAAAACGGCTAAAAAAAGCCCTGGGAAAGGTTGACCCTTTGGGGTCAAAGGTTGACTCTTTGGGGTCGCATATAACTATATAGCCCATATAAAGAAGTACCGCCAGGGAACTCCACCAACTATGCTATATACCCAGCCGCACATTGGGAGCAACGTCTAATTATGACTTACTGAGCGTTTACCTTCTTTATTGCTTTTTCGCTTCCATTTTTCACTTTTCCATTTAAGACAGGCACAACAAGCATCTTTCCAAGGGTAAAAAACGGCACTGGATCCGATGGTGTCAGCTTTGTTGTTTTTATGTACCTTTCCTCTGCTTTCTACAGTCAGGAAAACAAAGTTTGTCTTTGAAGAAATTGAGGTTTATTGCAAGTGAAATGGCAAACCCTAGTAACCAGAGCAACCAATATAGCAATCAACAGATCAGAGGCCAAGGAAGAATTATGTGAAATCTAGTTTTGAGGTACAAACGTCTAGCAAAATGCGCGCGATTTGGCAACGCCAATAAAAACGTACGTTTTGGAAAATTTACGCCATATCTATTCGTTCATAAGCTCTGCCGCGCACAATAACAAAAGCAATCCTTTCCCCCCCCCATTTTGCATCTCTGCCGATCGCGAAAAGGCGCGAAAAAATAAGAAAAACAAAACCGCGACCCGTAAAAGTATTCTCTTGACTTTTACCTTTCGTTTTCCGAGCTTTTCCAGTACGACGCCATGAAAATAATTGAGCTGTGGATGGTTAGGCCTGAGAGATAGGGCTTTCTCATATTGAACATCAGCTTCGTGGAATCTTCCCGTCACTCGCAACAAGTGTGCAAGGTTTATGTTGCCGTCAGCACTGTTAGGTTTAATTGAAAGAGCTTTCAAATAGCATTTCTCGGCTTCCTGGGCTCTTTCTATGGAGAGAGAAGTACTGTAAGGTTAAGGAAGGCAAAATCTGCATTCGGTTCTGACTTTCTTCATAGTGTTTTCTTAAGATCGCACTTTGTACTGATTAGACAATAATTCTCAGAAAGTTTCGGGTATTTCTGCCCTACCAAATTAACATGGGACTTGTTTTCGGGCTGTGCCATTCTTTAAGGGCTTTAATAGGGGAATCCTTGTTTACAATTCGGTTTCTGATGGAGCTACAAATAAATCAGTTCCGAATATTGAAAGGTCATAGCACGATTAACCCTGCCAATTAGTATAAGCCTGATGTATTGAATGCTTTTTGTGCAACACGGGCTTAAAAACTCAAAATTTTAGAAAGAATGTACGAGCTCATTAACGATTTAGCCTCCCAGAAATTTTGCAGCTTTTGAAAGACAATATCTCCTTGAATATTACCCCTAAAGAACTAAACATTTCACCATGTATTAAGTTTCACTAGCTCTTTAGCTGCCTGGAGTCAATTCATATCGAACATGTTTTCTTCTGTAAGTCGATGAGCAAAAATGTAAGCAATGACGTCAGTATGAATTCCCCAATAGCTTTACGCATTCTTACTTGTATTTAGGAGCACTAAACCCAGGTTCTCCCAGGCTGCGACGTAATGTGGCCTCAGGCGCAAGGCCTCACGATAATGGTTCTCACAAGATAAGAGCCCCTGGGAAAGAAATAACATAAACCTTGTTAAGACTGTAATAGGGAGAAGACAGTCTGAGAGGCTCACCTCAGCTCTGAGGGTAAACTATAAGGTCTGGCAGCGGCGGGTTTTCATGACACTTTGCTGATTTTGAGAGTGCAAATGGAGGATCAAATGAAGGAGAAATTGTAAATTTAGTCGGACTGTAGATGAAATTATAAGGAGTTGAGAGGTATGTAGAGAAATCAAGCTAGGGATCACGCACTGCAGAGACACGAAGGCACGAAGGCACGCGGCACGAAGGCACGAAGGCACGAAGGCCCGAAGGCCCGAAGGCACGAAGGCACGAAGGCACGATGGCACGAAGACGCGAAGGCGCGAAGGCACGAAGGCACGAAGGTCACTAAGAATGTTGGTGTGTTCTGTGACTATCATGACTCACCCTACTTGCCAAAACATTTCCTAAAGTAACATGAATCTTGGCGTTCGTGGGATTCACTTTAAGCCCCGATCTTGCCAAAGTCTCTTTGTTTTGCCACTCTGAATTGCGGTGTACGGTTTTGAAAGCAAACAGCAACAGAAGACTGTAAACAAATATCATGCCGGCTATACTTAGACCAAAACACCAGTCAATAGAGGACGTTTCTTGCGTGAAATTTTCGTCAGATTCCTGCAGTGTGGAAAAAATAGGTTAAAGAGTGTGAGTTAAGTTGAAATTATCGTAAAAAAGTTAATATCGTAAGCAACGGCAATGCGCAACTCTGTAAATACTCAATGTCCCAAAGAAGTAATTACTTCAAAATGGCGGCAACATAACTATACAAACAAACAGAAAACGCTAAGCTAACGAGACAAATAATCATCTGTATGGGAATATAGAACTTATGCCAGCTTCTGAGATGAACAATGTTAGGAATCTGGGAATAATGTCGATCAAGATTATATCAAAAGCCTTTATTTTAACCATACAGAAACAGTGGCCTTAGCAGAGCTGTTTAGCGTAAACAGACCCCATTTTACTGTCATCTTAACTGACTACTCAAACATTCAAGACAGGTCTTTATAGTGCACTCATCTGATGTAACTAAACAATAGGGAGACGCCTGATGAAACTTACACCACGTAGCTTGTGCCCAGTCTCTGATCATTGGCTTCAAAGAAGGGACTGGGCGCCATGAATAAGGTAAGAAGAATCTGCTCACCTCCTGTTTTAAGGATTCCTCACGCGTTGAATCTTGAAACAAGATTGAAATTCCAAATGGAACGAGAATGCAGAGGCCCATACTTGGAATGTAAAGAATTCGTTCCGCGACAACAAATCCCACCGGGAGAAGGAGGTTGGAAGCTGGTAGAAATGGTATGGTCATCATAGCTAATGAAAACAACACAACACGTCTTCTGTGTAGAGAATCAAAGTCATCCTGTAAAAGAAGAAGTAGCAAATGTTAAGAGTAAGGGTTAAAGCTGCCCAGAGAGATGAGGCTTGACAGAGACTCGCACAGACCAATCAGAGAGAACATTTTTGTTCATTTAAGAAAGAGAAACATGTACCGTGTTCCTATCGAGTTTTGGTATAAATCTGCTAGCGTTCTGTCACGAATGCCGTTCTCTCATTGGCTACACTACTCGCTATCTATTTAACAATTAGATTACGAGCTCGAGATTTCTATCGCGCGATAATTGATCATGACGAGCCTAGTCAACTATCACGGATAGAAATCGCGCGCGAATAATCTAATTGTTTTAGTATAAATCTACTAGTCGTTCAAAGCTTTATCTAAATCCTCCTCACAGACAGCTCAAAAACGCAAAGAAGTGGCCGTCATTTTGAGTATTTTGTTAACAAGGGTACACTGCTACGCGACTCACTATCTACAACAGAATAGATAGTGAGTGGCGTAGCCAATCAGAGAACAACGTTCGTGATAGAACGCTAGTAGATTTATGCTAAATAATCTGTTGTAGATAGTGAGTTGCCTAGCAGCGTGCGCTGGGGGCCGCTTCTTTGTGTTGTCGAAGTGTCTTTGAAGAGGATTTAGATTAAAGTTTTGAACGAGTACTAGATATATGCTAAAACAATTAGATTATTTGCTCTCGATTTCTATGCGTAATAGTTGACCCGGGCTGCGCCCTTGTCAACTATCACGTGATAGAAATCTCGAGTTCATAATCTAATTGTTAAATAGAAACACTATTTTAAACCACTCAGCGCCCGTATTTTCTTTGGGCTATTTTCTAAAGAGTCAATACACAAGAGATTTCATTTGCAAGAATTTCCCGCGCTTTAAATCTAACGCAAACACTTCCTCATTCTGATTCGTTAAGGAGGCTTTTAACCACTGTTAAATGACTGGATGTCGTTTTACACTGACACATGAAGAAACGCTAAAATAAGAGAAAATGCTGCCGTGAGGGCTATAAGTCTTATAATGTTACCTTGCTGATTTTCTTTTTAGCTTGGGATAAAAAATCCAAGGTGGGCAGCGGATCAGAGGCAACCATCTTGTATTTGAAGTTCACAGAAGACTCTTTTAAAAACTGTTCGATCTTACAAGAAACTTTTTAAATCACTTACCTTTAACGTTTTCCCTTCAAAATGTTGTCGTTCTTTCAGTTTCAATTCCTTTCGCTCGTACACATTATTTTCGTTAGAATCTAAAGCTAAAGAATTCGAGGAGCTCGGCGTAGACTTTTTAGGCTCTTCAGGTGATGACGAGGATGTGTTCGAGGATTTCAGACCTGCAAAATGACACAATATAAACAATAAGGCATTAGGCATATTGTAGTGAGCTCGCCTCCGGGTCGAGTGTATAAATGGTTACCGGCGAATTATATGCTTATCGAGGGTAACCCTTTGATTGACTAGCTTCCCATCTTGGAAGGTGTAGCAATACTCCTAGTCGCTTCAAGCTACAGAAACCGGAGATAAGTGCAAGCCTGATGGGCCACTTGGCTCGTGTGCAGACTTAACCTTTAAGGCATAATTTAAAATGTGTTTTCATTACATAAAAATACATGATAGTGGTATAATAGCGAAAAAGCTCCCTACAAAAGGTAAGAGTTTTGTCTGCGCTTAGGTAACAAATTTTAATTTTTCACATGTACAATCTCCACCTCTTCCATTTTCCAGACAAAAGCTCTTAAAAACCATTTACTCTAAACAAATGCATTGTCAAGTAAATGTGTCGCCTTGAACTGTTTTTCGAGGTACATCTTACCGTAACAACACAACCACACTATGATCACACTAAACGCAAGCGTTTCCAGATTGCGCATGTCCCACGACGACTCAATCCGGGATATGCTGTCCATGGACCAATCATAGCACAGAATGTTCGGACACAGAAGCAAGCGCGCGTTCAATGCGCACAAATAAGAATACGTTCTGAAACGCGTCCATATGTCTCGGTGAAATAAGGTTGGATTGTCAGACTCGGTAAAAGAACTCGCAAAACCTCCAGAAATTATCACGATCCTGAAGTAGAGAAGAATTACAGCTACAGCGACCAAGATGGAAATTCTTTCAACCAAGCGTACAGCCCACTTTGGCAACTGTCTGAAATGAATCGAGAAAGAAAATTATCAGTTTATTCCGGGATAATTAATGATTTGGGTAAAGACCATTTTCCGGTGAAGTTCATAACAGTTTTGGACAGAGTCCATCCCACGTTTGAGAAGGTTTTACAAACAAACTGCGCTTTAAACCCCCCAGAAGATACTTTGTAAATCATTGGGTGGGGGTGTGCCGCTAAGACACTGAAACCCTTACCCTATACTAGACCATGATCAGCTTGATTTTGCAACCCTATTCTAGACTAGGCACCAAAAAGCCCTACCCTATCCCAGACTAGCTATTTTCGATGAAAAACCTTTATCACTATCGTAGTCCAACATACGCCAACTAAACCAATATCTTACAAAGTCACTTTCGAGTTCCAGTTTCTATTATAGAACCCCGAGTTAAAAAAACCCTGTTACAGACTAAATCAGTTTATACACTGAGCACTTTTTCGGTGAATTACACCCTATTCTTAAGCAAAACTGTCTGATTTCTATACTCTTTCCCAAAGAAACTGCCTAAAAACCATACCCTTCACAGCGACACATACCCTTATAACTTGTATGTGGGAGTGCCCCACCGCCGGGTTTAAAACCTGCCTCAGCCCCACAAATTTGTTAAGATTCTTACCTGGAGTGCACCGTAGGCCAATACAATGATGGTCTGAACAAATGTTCTCCGCCGAACTTGCAGACAAAGACGAAGTCGTACACAACACAAACTCCGAGAATTGTAATACCGTTTTCTTTACTGAAGAGCGATAACACGCACCAGAAGATAGAGGAAACTAGCCAAAACTTTGAATACTTTGTCGGCCTTTTGCTGCTGTCCTTTGCCGTTCCCTCGGGGAAACAGTTTAAGTACGACAGCAAAGCCAGGAGATAAAATAATCCACAAAGAATATCGGCGCGTCCAACAACATTCGTTACAGCCTCTGTGTGAATTGGATGAGTAGCGAAAAATAATCCACATAAAAGAGATAATGAATTGGTTTGTGAACGAACATGGCCATTAAAAATCCTTGTGCATACGTGAAGAAATAGCATGGACACCAAGGAGTGTAGAAATACATTAACTACATGATAACCTACTGGATTAAGGCCTCCGATAAAAAAGTTCCAGCGAAATGTTAGAACAGTTAATGGACGATACGATTTGTGTGAGTCATTCCTTTTCAGCGGAAGGCCCCAAAAGTCGTTTGAAAATAACTTAGAAATTGGAGATGTAGGTCTGGAAAGGAAGAAAAACAGAAACTTGAAATTAGTGAAATGGTTTGCTAATCATGATTTATCATTAGCTTAAAAACAGAAGAGTGGCATAATTGCCAGCTGAGGAACTAGAAAAACCACATTAGATCTCGTCTTTGAAATCGGCGTACATGGTGTCCCGGATTGAAATAAATAAATAAATAAGACCACCTCTTGCTCCATTTCAATGATGAAAAAAATGGCGCGTTTTGGTTCCAGTGCAATTCCGGCATCACTGATTCCAGGAGGGTGGGGTACGGGGGGAGGGGGGGGGGCCATTTCTTGGATCATAGATCTGCCAGATTATGAAATCATCATCGCTTCGGGGAAGACGGGAGGAGAGGGTGTCATCGCAAAAAAAAGCTTAATTTCGCAAAAGTGAAGTATACCTATGCTAACTACAGCTGCGAGCATTAACTTCCAAGTCCAAATGGCATTAAATTAAAAACCTCTCAGTTTCTAAGGTATGATATTTAAAGCATGTGACCTCTTTCGATAATTCCAAGTGGAATGTTGGTTTTTTTTTTCCTGAAATAAACATTGTCAATATCTAATTTTCTCTTAACAATATCAATACGCTGTCAGAATGTTGGCGGTCTTGATGAAATATCGAATTCTTAGAACTGACTCTAAAATAAACACGTCGACTCAGGAAGGAAAATTAAAATTTCCACATCGGGTTTTACAAATGCACAAGTGACAGTTACGTTACAGTTTTCGTATATTGGAAGTTCACTACAAAAAGATTGTGATTATTTGCGAAAGTTCAATTCAGCATTTGTCTTACAGTTCTAGTGTTTTTGTGAGGTTTCGTGACTTCTGTATTGTTATTAATTGACACAGTGAATGACAGACAAAAATTGAAGACTTTTAATAGGCCAATATCGATCGTAAAAAACCATGTACGTCCATCTCATGCACAATAAAGTACGTGATCATTCACGGACGTCCAGTCCTTCATTCAAAGGATACGAACCTTCATTTAATTACCTTTTCGGCTTTCGAAAAAAAATTTACATTTCACTTTATTAATTTTGCATGGGGTGGTTATATTCATAGGCATAATAATATTGCACTTATTATTTTTATTTTCCTAAGCTGGCAACAAATAACATTTGCTTTCAAGGTCGATGGAGTTGATTTTTCTTGTTAAAATCGTGCGCTAGGTCAAATATAAAGTTAACACGTTCTGTTGCGAGGCTGATATCTTCCAAGTTTTGTTTAAAACAATTAAGTGACCGCAGATTAATGGTGTCACAAACCAATTACGTTAGGTAACTGTCGTTCATAAATTACCCTCTTGAAATTTCAGAAACAGGAATAAAACATAAATTTAACGTCAAATCTTACTTAACTGGAAAAAAATATGTGGTAAAATTCGCAAAGTTTATCATGAAAGGGTTGCTTTAATACGTAACTACAAAACTACACAAGTTAATCGAACCAGGCTGCATTGTATGAGTGTCATCGTTGAAATTTATACGAGTCACGGAAGAATAAAGCCAATTTAAGATCTTCGCGTTGGGCTCATGTTTCGACCTACTCTATCGTTTCTTACCGCAAACAAAGTCCCTTACTGATCCAAAATCTCATCCTGTTAATCTTAGCCTTATTTTTGTAAGTTAAATGCTTGTGCTCAACTTGGCGCTTAAAGTTATCGCACAGCGGTGAACAAGGAGCTTAAAATTAGAGACGGAAAATTCATTTTGCTCACCTGATGTCCGCATTCGTCTCAATAACTTCGTAGTCATCGTAAACAAACGCGCCAAACAAGGAGTTTAAATAGCACACAATTGCTGTGATCCCTACAAGAAGGTAGGGTTTAAAATTACGCGCTTGATTCGAGGATCTTTCTATTTCTCTTCCCTGTTTTCTGTTTAAATTCTGTAACCGAGCCATTCTAGACATTTAGATATTCTAATGAGTCTTTTCACCTGGTAACACACAGACAATTAACAAACTGTGCCTGGGAAGGGAGGGTCATTTGTAAATAATACTATTAAGTGTGCAACATGTCAAGGGTGAAACTTTTTGTCTTTTTCACCAATCGGGGAGAGAAACCTCGGTAAATGTTGCAATGTACAGACAACTCCAAGATCTTTTTTCTATTGGGGAGATGACATTAACTCACTTATTATAAATTTGTTGTGTTTTGTTTGCCTGTCATTTTTTTCCAAGTACAGAAAATTAACCTCATTCTTATGATTTCTCAAGAGCAATCACGATTTAATTTCTTTTTGTCAATACACTTTCAACAGAGAGGTAATTAAATTAGAAGACAAAAAAGCATCAACTGGTTATTTTGATAAATGTACCACCAAATTCTCACAACTGATATTAAAAGAAATGAGTGCAATCAGTAAGGATAATTTCTATCTTGAGCCAGGGACTAAAAATTGTTCAAGAAGCCATGCAAATTGCATATTGATGTCCACCATGAGAAGGAAATGCCGAGTATGGGTTCAATTATTGTGTTTCTTTCCTTTTTTTCTCATATTCAGTATCACTGTCCAAGATCTCCCGGTTTCTCAGTTTACATTATTCTCGAGTTCATACTGGCTTACAGCAGAGGATCAGGCCATGAGTGATTGGAAAATGAAATGCTGTTGCAATAAAGTTCATCTTCTAGTAATCCCTTGGCCTCGAGGGTCATGTTACTGACTCTTAAGATGCAGCTGGTGTATCTTCCTTTAGGTATTTTCTACGGATATCTAAAGCCTGGTTGAAAAGGTCCATGTCCATCCCATCGATGCAACAAGCAATTCTTGCCCGCAGAACTATCCTTTCACTGATGTTAACTTCTCCTATGAACTGATACATGGAGCCTCTGTTGAATGCCATTGGTTCCACAAGGGAAGTGTCAATAACCAATTCGCAGCCATCCTCACAAACCTTTAGTTCACTTGTTGTGATGTCATGAGCCTTTGCCCTGTAATTAGATACAGTACCATGATTCTCTATAACTAAAAAATATTCTGAAGAATCCCAAAAATACCGTCAGGACAATTTGAGTATATCTATAGCTGTATAATGTTCTGCAGACTTTAGAGAGGTATTCAGATCTTAAACGGGTTGGGTTGTGTGGCTGGATGCTCCAAGAGCAGACCCTAGGGGGCCAGACAGCAGAAAGGCATTCTCCTATATGGGCTATATAGGTATATGTGGCCCTAAAGGATGTGTCATTTTAGCAGGTTTGGTCTGAAATAGGGTGTGCTTTCCACTCTGGCTTAGGGCTTAGCCTTGCTGTTTTTTTTTTTTTTTTTTTTGCTCGTCCCCAACTGCCGAGAGCCTGGAACAGACTAACCATCAACATTGGCAAATTTGTAGCCCTTTTCAAGTGTTTAGGCATGTTGAGGCCATTTCTGGTTGGCTGCAGTCATATATGCGAGCCATGCACTACTTTTACAGGTCTGAAATTGAGTGTGGAAAATTACAATTTTATTTTGGTCTGAAACAGGGTACTGGTGACGAGGTTCAGGCCGCGCATCCCACAAAAATCTTTGGGGAGAAACCACTACAACATTTCAGACTGAAATATGCCGTCTCCATATTTCAAACTTGAGTCAAAATCTGATACCCTATTTCTGACCAGACCCACCCAGTAATTGCTATGATTTTTTTGAGGGGTTTCAAATTGTTTGTTACACTAATTGAGTAGTACTTCTCAAGAGATGAATTACAATGATAAAAAAATAATCAGTTTTGAGAAATATATCTACCACTGGCGAGCAAAGTGCACAAATCATGCACTATTTAAGGCCAAAACAGCTCAAAAACCACATACCCTTTGGCGCAGCATGTACCTGCACATAAGCTTACCAATTCAGCTATCTCCCAGGATCTATGATTTTTTTTTCAACATTGTCTTGACCAAACATTTATTACATGTAAAGATACATGGTCATTAATAGATGTAAACTATATTATAAACATTACCTTCCCCATGTTCTCACAGATTTACCATCTAAACGTGTCCCCAAGTGAAGCACTTCTTTCAACCGAAGAATTTGACCACTTGAAATACCCGCCATATTGAATCTCATTGAATTCGCTTATACGATGTGGAGCTGGACCCAAATTACTTATTTGGTGTCAGGTAAGTCCGGGTGGGTAGGGATGCCCGAAAATACTTTTTTCCTTTATTTATTTTGTACACAAATAAGCTATATTTCATTAAAAAAAAACGCTTGTAAAAATTTATAAGTTTCGTAAAATGTAAGTTAACAAGAGAGAACATCTGGGTTAGGAAATATTTCCAAATTACACCGAAATGAATAGCCTTCCCACCTCTCCCACGGGGTCCTGTTTAAAGCAGTTGGAACGCCTTGCACTTTTGTAGCATCTGGTACCCGTTCAACTCTGAGTAATGCATGGACTGGAGGGGTCATTTAGGGAACATTTAGCTTGAATTTTAAGCTTACGTTGTTGATCACATTGTGCTTTTGTTGAAGATGGAGAAGCTATTACAAGGTGTTGTGAAATTCAGTAATCATGTTCGACCATCCTTGCTACCAACACTCGAGAAACTTGCCAACAAAGCTCAGGTACAATTTTGTTTTCCTCTCTTCTTTTTAATCATTTAATGATTGGTTCTCATTATTTAATTTCATGATCGTTTCTCTCCTTAACTTTGGAACAAGAAGGCATTGCTTGCTTGCTTGCTTGACTGCTTGCAATTCTCAATTTTCACCGTGGACGCCATAATTTGTCACCTCTGATGTTCGATCGTACTAGAAATTAACAAAGTACTTCTAATTTAAATTAGTTTCTATTATTTGTACATCCAACATGTCTGTGACACCTTTCCTTTGCTATTTGACCCTCGCAGTATTGACTGCAGTATACACGCATCGAAGCAACATTGCGCCTACATCATTACCTCATAGCTAAAATATCAGTGAAAGCTTACAAATAACTTATATGTAACATACTAACTAATGTATTAAGCTTACACATTGCCTAATACTCTGAGCTTATGTATGTTGGCCAGTTCAAATGTCTTTTTGCTCTGTCAACACACCATTACAGTCAACACTCAACCCTTTAGGCTGACCATTAATTAATTAGTAATAGTAATTGGACTGAGTGGAGTACAATTCAGGGAGAAATCGCGCAAGTAATTTCAAAATTGGATGAGTGCAAAGAGTGAGGCCGATTTGAAATTACAATCATGGTCTCACCCTGAGTTGTACAACACGAGGTCCAATTACTAATTAATCATATCTATAGCAAATTTTGGAATTAAAGATGTCTTTTTAAAACCTCTTTTGAGCAAACACATCTGTAGCACTTTTCATAAGTTTTGAAAATTGTAGGAAACTGTGCAAAGGAAGCCATTAAAGCGTGCGTAATTGGCATGCGAATCATGTGGTATCCAATTTCAGGTATCTTTTTACAAAAAGTTCAAATTGGATACCTGTAATTGGACACCCACGTGATTGCACGCTGATTACGTGACAAATAGGCATTCAGAGAACCAATCATGATCAAGAATTTTGTTATAGATACGATTAAAGGTATTATACTCCTCTAACGTTTTCTGAGTCACCTGGGTGTAAGATTTTTATCCTAGAAGTGCCAGAAATTTTGAAAGAAATTGACCATATCCTATAGCACGGAAAGATTTCCAAGAACTTTTTGGATATTATTGAAAATGTTTCAAACATTTCCTGGTCCCAGTACCAGGATGTGTTTTGCCAAAACATAAACATTACTTTTCCCTTAAAAATCAGAGAATTATGTAACTGTACCACCATTTGCATGGACTTTTCTTTCCTTGCATATTTGGTTTGAGTTTCATATTTTTGGAAAGTGTATTAGTTAAGGTAGTAACATCTCACAAATCTCCGCTAGGCACAAAATGTGATCCTTGGTATGACTAGGTATGAGATCAAAGTTTTTTTTGTCCCCAAGAATGTTATTTACCTGCAAGGAATGAGAGCTGGCAGGTGTAGAAATATTAAAATGCAATCATATAATTATATTCATGGATAAACTTTCCACCTTTGCTCTCTTCAGCCTCGCATGCTTCTAATCACTTGTATGGATAGCCGCTTATGCCCGACCAGCTTTACACAAGCAGATCCTGGGGACATGTTCATAGTAAGAAACCCTGGAAATGTTATGCCACACAATCAGCTGTTTGGAGACACCCATCACAGTGTACTGTCAGAACGAGCAGCTTTGGAGCTAGCCATTTCAACTGGAGTTCAACACATAGCAGTTTGTGGCCATTCAGATTGTAAGGTAACCCCTCAAGCTTAGTGGTACTATAATTTGATGCTCCCAGGAGCTCATAACCAGGAGTGTATGTCTCTTATATTAAGTCTGTTATGTACTGTGTTAATGACGATTTAAGCTCAAGCTGCCATGTCTGGGTCTGAAATAGACTTTTGAACTCACAATCACTTTAAAACTCTTACTTAAATCTTTAGTTTCACAGCTTGTTGGGAAGGTTAATAGTTTGACAACAATAAATTAAAAGAACATGGGACATAATGCTAAAAATACCTCAGTCTGCAGGTGCTTTGGATTATGGATGTAATAGCTGTTAATAATTAGAGATGCC